TGTGAGTGTGTTACTGAAGAATAACTTTGCATAATGTACTGCTTTGATTTTTGATAAACTGAATCATCATATGAACCTGTCAAGAGACAAACGTTTCAGAAAACATGCTGTAGCATTGATTTCTAGTGGTGCCTGGTACCCAGGATCTTTTAACACAAGATTAGCTAGCTTACAAAATGCACCTTTCCTTGAGGGACAAGGAGTCAGTGAAGATAGCTTAAAAATCCCGGCATCAAACACAAGGCTTATACAAACCTCCACTAGTTCTTGCTAGAAAAGTATTTTCCCCTACATGATTCCAATGCAAAGAGTGCTAATACAAGTTACTGAAACTGGCCTCTGAAAGTAGGCTCTGTCCAATTTGCAATAGGTAGCTGAAGTGGTTTTGAAGAAAAAAGGAAGTATACAGAGGAAGACCTGCAGGAACTTGTTGGTTGATAAATTGGAAAAGATGTTTCATACTTACTTTGCAGACAGGATCCTAATGGGTCAGATCTCTAAAGTTAGAATCCCCTCCTCTTTGTTCTCCAAGTAATTTTCCTATAAGGATGGGCTTTTGGAACAGTCAACTTCCTCAGTTTAAAAGGAAAAGTGGTGAATGACCAGAAGGAGCTAAAAGCTCATCTTACAACTACTTCTAGAGGAAACCACTAATTAATGGAGGTAGGACGGAATGTAGGGAGAGAAAAAGAAAGGAGGCAAAAATGTTAAATTTAGAAAGGATTTATAAAACATCTTTTAATGTTCTGCTGATCTAACCACATTAAATACTACCAACTTCATTCACTACAAAAGTGTTTGTATCATCACTACTTACCTATAAAAGGTCATCATGCAACCTGTGATCGTCATGTTCATTGGTACCTGAGCTGACATTCGGCCAATCAAGATCATCTTTTCACCAGTGTCTGGATGAAAAGCTGAATCATAGACATATTTTGCTCTCCAAAGCTCATCTTCGGTTAATCCAGGGGCCACCACACCTTGTCTTGGGGCAAATTAAAATAAATGTTATACAAGCCTGCCAAGTATGAATTAACAAGTACAACACCAAGAGATGTTCTGGTCATTCAACTAGAATAAAATTACATGCTGTATTTTAGGCTTCTATTGTATTGTATGCCGGGACACCCAAATGACGAGTACATTTAACAGATTTAGTTTTCAAATACATTGGTGAATATAGAGTATCACCACTCCAATAAAATCATTATGTGGCTGAACTGCTGCTGCCAAAAAAGAAAGAAAAAAAAAGATACTTCTACCAGCTGGAAGGAATGTAGAGATTTTACAGTATGACTTCTGCTGAAGTTACTAACAATTATGCAGACCATAATGACCTACATGACTCTGAAAATTTACCTTTCTGAGAAGCTATTCAGCAAAAACAGTACAGAAAAAAGGCTCTATAAAAGCATTTTTCATAACAGCTCCAATGCCAATTAATACTTCAGAATTAGACAGCACACCCATAGATCAGAGTGCTTGGTAGAAGTTTTCAAACCACATAATTTGCTAATTCTTAACTGTGGAGACTACTGTTTTAAATATCATGCATAGTTTAGCATTATAAGTAACATACCTAGAAAAAGCACTGTTGCATAGAACATACCTAACAAAAATTCATTGTAGAGATGTAATCCCCTACATATGACTCATACTGAGCAAACAACAATATGACAACTTATGACACAAAGACAAATTGCTGTTGATACTAACAGCCAAAAATATCCAACCATCATACCTGTAATCATGTACAATTTTTCTTGCATTTTCTAGTTGCGTGTTAGATAATAAAATGTTCCTGGGGTCTGTTACAGTGAAAAAATGACTGGCTCTTCCAATAAAAGTGCTTTGATCCCAACGGGGTTCCTTTATATTAATGTTTAATGGTATAGTTGATGACATTTTCTTAAACTCTGTAGAAAGAAAGAGAGATTTCAGTTTGATCATTCTTGTAATTCATAATACACGCAGGATATTTAGGGGACTAACCCTCCAAGGTGCCAAATGAAAGCAAACTTTCAATAAAAAGCAGTAGATGCACAAATGCTGAATATTATACCAGGTACATACCCAGAATGTAATTTATTTAAGCCTCGTTATTTATGTAAAAACCTGCATCAGGCTTAATAATGGGTTGTAGGATGTCATTCACATGAGCTAGCTTAACAGGACAGTAACATATTTATATTTTTATGCTAACTTCTCTTTAGACACGTAGTTGCTAGCGGTTCTGAGCAAATAAGTAGCTGAATTTGAAGGGGTCCCAAGGAAAGGGAATGTTATTAAAAACCAGCTTCACAAAGTACCGACAAACAACTGAAGCTATTCATGTTCATTTTACTTGAACACTCCCCTCATAGGGAACTTGGCAACCAAGATGAAACACAGAAGTTTTGAACAGATGTGCTTCAACAGATATTAAACTCTACGATTTCTACTACTGAATTTTGTGAGAAGCCTTATTTAAAATCTCAGCCATAGCAAAACAGAATTTAAATTTAAACCACCATGCAATGCCTAATTATTCTAAGGGTTGCGTTTTGTAAAAATAACTGTATTTTTTTAAAAGAGGCTAGCCAGCAACCTGTAACATTATAATACATGTCATTTTTCCCTAGAGTTTGAATTACACTTGGACTCTTGGGGGGGGGGGGGGGGGG